ATGTTGGCTAATGTTTTACAGGGACGAGATGATTGGATGTACATGAAAGGTGACGGCTCAACAACAACCTACACCAATACCCGCAGCTGCGTCAAAGGCAAAGAAGGCGACGGTCTCAACGTAGCATGGCGCCAAGCCTTCTTCACCGGCAAGACATCAGGACCAACCCACGGCGGTATCGGATATCTCCAACCCAGCAAGCAGGACTGGCAAGACAAGATTCATTTTGCTCGCATCTACGGCACAAGACCTACCTTTGCAAATCTCGGTGTCAAAGACTACGTTTACATCGAGAGTACCAAGGGTACTGAGAAGGATTTCAAGTTCAAGATCAATGTTTGGAAGAACCTTGGATCGGGTGGTACCAAGCTTGAGGCTGATGGGAATAAGTATTGCAATATGCATGGGTGGGATAAGAACTTGGACTAACAAGGCAGAGACATGGTATAATCCAGACTGCGGGTGGTTTGACAACCGTGGAGATGACGACGGTGGTGTTCGTGATCCCAAGCTTCCTGTGCAGCCTGGAAATCCTCTTCCTATGACCAACCCGCCTTGCACTGCTATTCGTACCTTTACGCACAATCGTCCGTTTGAGAGGGATGTCACCACCATTGACCTGTGGATCGCTGGCAAACAAGTTTGCAGCGAGCGCGGATCAGACCTTTTTGCGAGTGATGAGAATTTTTACGAGTTTGACTGCTCGGACGATCGATACCCTGGTATAACCTGGAAAGTCGGATCCAACGCTATCGGAAGGTCACTCACACTTTACAGTAAGTATCCCTACCATACGGAGAACTCGACACTAATTTTATTCTAGCGGTTGCGGAGAGTGGACAAGTCATTCAGCGCTTTGACGTTTCGTTGCAGGATTACAAGGTTACGGACTGGTGTTCTCTTGAGACGGACAGTGGATGCAAAGCCAACGATTCTTCGAATGAGAGCTGTGGTTTTGTGGAGGGAAATTGCGATAATGGGGAGACTTGTAGTCTTTGTGATGGGTTGGCTGTTTGTCAGAAGGCGCCTTAGACGAAATGGCTCTTCGTCTTCTTGTAAACAGAGGGGCTTGCTTGGTAGTGCGATCCGGGGTGTCATGTCTCCTCCTGTTTCTATTCCTTCATTAGCAACAATTTCTTGTACATATACTGAACTCGATTTCTTTATTCCCATAGGTATTCAATCATCTGTTTCCTTCCCTTCAAAAAGCAAATTCATAATGATCTTCGTTTTCAATTATCGTGCGATACTAGCATGGCCCCCGTGGTGATACCTAACCGGTAGTTAAATGCCGATTGCATAAAGACCCTGAGAGCTAACGAACAGCTGGGGCACCGTATATCTCACGGTATCCGAGTGTTCGCTACACTAGCATTCCGGTGATCTCTACGCCAGGCAGCCAAGCCCAGCAAACATGTCTTGCAGCAGGTTGTAACGACATGGTTACCAGTTCGGACAAGTACATCTAGAATCAGGCTCCTGCCGATCCCTCACCAGTGTGATACAACGTCTCCTTGACCTTCCAGACGGTACGAGTCCCATGTTCCTGGACCAGTCGGCAATAAGATGCCGAGTAATAAGCTATCAACAACACGATCATCTTAGGTGATCAGTAATAACAGAAGTTGCCTTGCTAAATGACTCGGTAATAGCTCTTGGCAGTCCGGTGCAAGGTTGCTTTGACGCCTCATAACTAGCTCGCGATGGTGTAGACCAATAGATTGAGCAAGCTGAATCAGGCTTCTTTGGTAGGTCCATCCTCAACACCACATTGTGCAAAAGGAGGCCTGTGAGGGGATAAGCCGGCCGCTGCCGCGGGGTTAAAAAGGGTATGCATAGCTTAAATCCAGTGGCTTGCTTAAATGATCTGCAGGTCTGGACAACAAGGATGGCGGGAGTTGATTCAGCTGCAGTACTAATCCAGATATGGAATTTTGAGGTCAAGGCTGAGAACCAACATGATCAAGCCCTCCGTATTAAGCCATTGTAGTTGCCAAGAATAAGCGTATTTGTTAGAGTTTTTCTTGTAAAATGGTTTTCTACTCGGGGTTTGCTTGTGACACATCTGGTGATAAGATGCCCGGTAGTGCGTATTTATTAGTGACATGGATTAATGAGAGATGTTGCTTGGGAACAGCTAACTGCTATTGAGAAGAACATGACCTCGACATGGTACCCGACACATGGATCAATATTTTACACAAGAGTTTCCACTGGGAAGCCGGTAGATTGGTAGAAGCATTGAACGTGGCTGTTCATTTAAATGATGTCTCATAACTAGAAGTGAAAGCTTGTTGCCACCGTAAGGCTGTCCAGGGTTGATTGCAACGGCGAGCAATCTCAATTGCAGAGTTTACAATTATCAGCAGGCATTTATAATAGCTGATAATAGCTCTGAAATTGCTTCGAGATTGTTTTCGTCAATCAAGGCAGAACCTGTTAATTTCTCCCGTGCGACATCGCAGATAGATAAGTAATCAATGCCCATCTTATCTCGAACAGGAACCATGGACCCGCAGTGTCATTTAAGGGTGATCCACATGAGGCTACGAGATCGGTAAAGTGTGCGAGTCTGGGTTAGAACTAGTCTTGGCAGTTTTCCATGCAGGGTAATGACTAGGATAAAAACACCGACGGAGGAGAGCGACCGGATTGTTGGTAGCCGGGACGCCATTACTAACAGAAAGACTGAGAAAGACAGGGGTTTAAAGAATGTCATTGTGGCGAGCAATGATACAGCTGGGAGATGACTGTGGCTGACGTCTAGCCTAGGTAATTAATTCAACGACAATAACAAGTTGCCAAAAGAGATCGGAACCTGAAGGCAAAACCCTGCACAAAACGTTTAACGATTCAACCGTCATCTGTGCGGTGCAGCAATCCGATCATCATCTGTGCGGAAACACAAATACGAAGATCTGTAGATTTGCATCGACCGGCAAATCCCTCTCCCGACATGTCGGTACGAGAGATCGTCATTGGACACTAGGACCGGGTTTGTTCGGAAGTCTGAGCGTAGGAAGACTCCGCGGAGAACTAAGCATATTTGGACTCTAGCTCCAAACTCTGAGCCTCAGAGCCACGAGATGCAGGTAGAACACGCGTCTGCCACGTTTTTACTGTCAATTCTGGAAGGACAGCCTTATGCCATCCTGTCACTTTCTTTTCTCTTTAAGTCCTTCTTGCTTTTTGCTGAGATTGGAAGGTAGAATTTCACGACGAGAAAGACTGGGGGATGACGCTAATGACCGGCTGACGGACCGCGAAGTCTACTGAGTCATGTCTCGGTACGTACTGACCGTTGGTTTCAACACCAAGGACGCCACGGCCTCCAGTAAAAATAAGACTTTTCTCGGCATCGGAAATCAGCTCATGGCGTTTATGCACGCTGTCTGTGCAATCCGGGGATAAATTTTCGCCTCCATTATACACGGGGTTCAGATCCATCGGCTTCTGGTATGTCTCAAGGACGTGTTCTCTTGATATCTCTTTCATCAGTTTCCAATTGTCTTACATCGATGGCGTCAGTTGTTTCTCTGTCGGAGATGTTGTCACTGAAGGGGAGAGCCTCATAAATCCGAGTAAGAATTGATGAGTCGAGATACGATCGTCGCGCCGTAATCCTTCGGAGTCTGCCAAGTTCAGCCACAGCACCGGTAGCCCTACGGCACAATCGGCATTCATGCTTGTGCTATCAATGCTGTGTTCGGTTAGACACCAATCTCACAAGTCCAGGGGCTTTCAGGCTGCCGGGGTCATTCTCAGCCTCCAGGTGTCCTCTCTATTTTCAGTGACTGAGATGTAAGCCTCACAATTCTTTAGCGCTGTCTTCCAAAATTATAGTGCCTGCCAGGACTTGATGGTTGTGCGGGTGTTTCAGAATTCCCGTCACATGCATTCCAATGGAACCGTTATTCTAGACGTAAAGTCAATTTGATACAATACATCGAATTGTTGGGTATTTGTCGTGACTCGGCAATGAGGCCTCGACAAGATCTGCATTGTAAAAATGGAGAATAGATCGTGGTCATTTGTGACTGATTCTACCCAAGACACTAGCCGATGAAAAAAAGGGGCCCAAAGATCTGGACAGAGGGGCTTGGCCTATCGGGGAACTGACTCGGTGGGTCTACACCGACTGATCAACATTCAGGTTTCAACGCAAGAGCCAAGAGATTTGTTGGTTTGTGTGAATCTCGGTTGGGCACTGACTCTGAGATGGGAGGGTTGAGAGGCTGAAACGGTTATGCCCAGCTTCACCAACTTTGAGGAGTAAGATTATTAATATGCATCTGACTACTCTAATTGGTAAACACCACGGAAGATTCCTTCAAGGTAATTAACCCGAGATGTAAATTGTACCGACATACGAAGAAGTTATTAACAATGAACTGGAAACCCAATATTCTGTAGTTCCTATCCACTGGTGACAGGACCCTTGAAGTGTCAACCAAACCAATTCTTCGTAACAAAGATCTTGGCAAGCGTTGACGATACCACCGATCGAAGCCCAGAAGACGAGTAAAATCTTCACGACTCAGGGGCGGCTTGGAATAGAGTTTGCTAGCCGTTTGTCCATCTCATCTGGTGTCTCTTCTAGCCTACGCGCGGCTGAGCACTAAGTGGACGGCCTCGCGCAACCATGCTTTGTTGGATCTAGACTCAATCTCAGCTGGTACACTAACTCATCGTGCCACTAAACCTCATCTAGTGATTAACCACGCAGCCCACGCCACTGATTCGAGAACACTGCAAATTGAAAATCCCATGCAGTTTTTAAAGGATCGGCAGTTTGAAGCTAGTTGACTAGAAAGGATGTAGAAAACAGGGGTCATGCTAGAAGGAATATGCAGTGTTCTGCAGACTTTGTGGTCCAGGCTCCTGTCTTGTTATATCCTTCATGCACTCCGTCAAAACCTGTTCCTGGTTCCATCCACATTCCTTGTCTTTTCTTTTTTATCCATTCTCTGTTTCGACCGGTGGTCACCTCAACCGCGACAATGACAGGCGATCACAGGGGCTTCCTCGTGCCCGACAGATACGTCGACGACCTTCCCAATGACACCGACATGAACATCGCCTCCATCGCCTGGGGTTTATCCCTAGGCATTACGGTTTTCAACGTCGCAAAGGCCGTTCGACAGACTCAATCATCGTGGCAGCGTAGAAAGAAGATTACTAGTTATGTCGCTCTTCTTTGGGCTGAGATTATCTCGAGTTTTTTGCTGGGTATTATGTGTTGGTTTTATCTGAGGGGGAATATCGAGCCTAGCATGCAGTTTTTCTTCTTCATTAGTAAGTGGCTTGCTACAAAGTATTGTGATTCTTGCTAACGATTACAGTTGTCTGGTGGTCTACCCAAGTCCAATGTCTCATCCAAATCATCATCAACCGAGTTTCCTTATTAATGGTCGTCCGATCCAACGGTACAAAGCTCAAATGGCTCTGCTTCCTCATCCTGTTCGCCATCAACATCAGCGTTTTCTGCATCTGGGTACCCGCTCGACTTCAGATTAGCGACAAGTATGTTCATCTCAACGAGATCTGGGATCGATGCGAAAAGGTCATCTTTGCTCTTATGGACGCTGTCCTCAACTTTTATTTCATCTACATCGTCAAGCAGCGCCTTGTCGCCAACGGTCTTCAGAAGTATACTCGTCTTTATCAGATGAATATGTTCCTGTGTGGTATTTCTATTGCTCTGGATATTTTGCTTATTTGCATGATGTCTCTTCCTAACGGTTTTGTGTAAGTTTACCCCTTTGAGAAGTTGTGTGAGTTGCTGACTCTTGTAGTTACATTCAATTCCATCCCCTCGTCTACCTCCTCAAACTCCACATCGAAATGAACATGGCCGATCTGATCGGTAAGGTCGTCCGAGCCGGTAACAACGATCCCCGCAACGGCGGAAACGACTACAGCTCCCGATCCCGAACAACCGGTGCCTCTCGCGCTCACGGACGCTTCGGTAACACTCTTGCCAGCGCACATCACCGAACGCACATCGAACTTGGCGAGGATGACGACTACGAGCTTAAGGAGCGTGAGAAGATTGAAGGTATCAAGAAGACCGTCGTCACCAAGATTGTGCATACGGGCGAGCCGAAGCAGATGGATGATAGTGATTCCACGGTTGAGGATCATAACAATGATGTCGCTACTAGTGAAGCTAGCTCGACCAAGCATCTTCATCAGCGCAAGTATAGCGTTGTCTAGAATTATTACACTACAGAATACCTTAGAGCCAGGGTATACCCCTGAGCTAGAAACTTTATATAGATTTTCTTTTAATGTATAATGACGACCAGATGGACTCGTTAATCTCATTTCAATCCTGTTCTGGACCGTGATATCGCAAACACAAATGACTCTTCTATTACGCTTTGCGTTATCGGCGCTGCGGTCTAGAACATGTTCGACTGCAAAGATCTACCGGGCCTCTGTAATCTAATCTTCATCTCGGCGGATCTAGGACAACCAATACTCAACCTCGGAATATCCCGTATAGCTCCACAGAAAACTCCTCACGACGATTCACTTTCTCAGTAGCGTAGAGTCCACTGAACTCTATTGCAGTTCAACTCTTGTCTTAGTTAAGCTTTAGCGGGCGCTACACTGAAACTTATCTAACGTTGTATTCTGAACAGGGTCTACCCTCTTTGCATGACTCTTCCACCCGTTTGATCCGCGCGTTCCGATCTCGACCCGGGACTAGTTTCGTTACATTGACCAATCGTAGTTCCAGGACTGCTGCGGTACTCCCGTGGAGTCTGATTGGTGGAGCTCGATACGCTCGATACGCGGCTTACGTGTGTCACTACCCTATAGACATAGATTTGGCAGCGTATTTACAGTCTCAGCCTCAAGACAAACGATGGTAAGCAAGAATAAGTTGAGAATGCAGGTGGCTGTGTTCGAGGCATATTCCAATACGCAGAGTTGAGGGTTGGTAATTTGACAAATGTATGCGGCCCCATCACGCTGTAAGGAATCACGTTTTCTATAAAAACCACATTGTAAGACGATCATAACAATTAAAAGGTTCAGATCAACAGTGTAGCAGAATTCAACCATAGCTTCTCCTGACTACCTTTCCCTGAATACCGGTTTCTCGCATCACATCATAATATATAAAAATGGGCCTTTTCAAGTCATCGGATCTTTCCACAGAGTGCGAAAAGAGCGCTCGCATCCTCAAAAGCTTCATCGGTACGTACCCCAACGCACCTTACCCATCTCGTACCCAGCTAACAACAACAGACAAAAACAAAATTCCATCAAATGTCATCGCCAACGCAAAAGGCCTCGCAATCTTCACCGGCTTTCGAGCAGGAATGTACTTCGCTGGCGCAGGCGGCTTAGGCATCGTAATCGCACGCTTACCCAACGGCGCATGGTCATCTCCCTCCGCCTTCTCTGTCCGCAGCGGCAGTGTCGGTCTCGTCTACGGCATCGATGTATACGACTGTATCTGCGTACTCAACACTTCTGAAGCAGTGGATGTTTACAAGAAAGCTGAAGTCAATCTTGGTGGTGCTGTTGCTCTCGCTGCGGGGCCACTGGGTGGGAATGTGAATGTTGGTGACGTCAAGCCTGTTTGGACTTACACCAAGTCTAGGGGTGTTTATGGTGGGTTGACTGTTGATGGGACTGTGATTAAGGAGAAGAAAGATGTCAATGCTGGATTTTATGGGAGGGAGGTTTCTTCTGGAGAGATTCTGGAGGGTCACGTGAAAGCGGGTTGGGATGTTAGAGTTCAGGAGCTTTTTGAGGTTGTTAAGATTGCTGAGGGTAAGAGTGCCGATCGCAAGGTGTTGGAGGGGATCAGTGGAGAGCCTACTCCTGGAGACATGACTGAGTAGTCTCAAGCCTGGATGCATGCCTATACTTAGCAAAGTTATTCATGTTTATTTAGAAATGTATCAGGAACAGTTGCGATTTGTAAGGGAGGGATTGTAATATGAATATCAGGACACTGAAACTTATGCATTAGTCTTCTGGTAGTGTGGCAAACACCTCATGCCGAGCGATGATAAGATTGTGAATGCTTAAACTGTGTCTTCAAATAGTGGATATATTTAAGGGCGCCATGATCGATCTGTAGATGGTCCAGGTAGACTTATAGTGAAGCCGCCTACTCCTACACTGCCTGAACCTTCTTTCCAGACGTCTACCATTCGATTCCGATCCAAAACTTGACCACATCGTCCTCATGAGACAGCGAATAAATAGTCCCAGGTGTAGTCGAACTGGCGCGCGGCTCGCTTAGCAACCTCCAAGAACCCAGCGCGCAACCCAGTACTGAGCGACCCATAACACAAAAAGCACAAACAAAACCGGGAGTACCAAAAGATAAAGACCGATCAAAATAGCGTCTTCCAAATGCATTTGAACCATCTTCCCGATTGACCACCGATAATGGTAGTCACGAGGACTTCGTGAGAAAACATGAGAAAAAATGTTCCAGAAGCTGTGCTCATGGCCAGCAGAAATGCATAATCGGCGGGCAGTGTGGTAGACATCGACTATGAGTAATGCGACGATGGCGGTAAGGAAGATAGTTACTGAGACGATGGCTTGTATTGCGGGCTTCCGATATGTTAGTACGACTGTACATGTACATGTGGATGTTGATGGCATCATGGACTTACACTATGCCAGACTCGAGATAGGTAGAATGATGCAAGGTTGGGCGGTTGTTCCGGTTTCATCTTTGGTAACTACGGAGGAGTATGTTGAATTAAGCCTGGTCGGATGACAAAAAGGGAGGTCTCATCCGGGGGAAATAAATAAAGAATTTCAAAGTTTCGTGGGAGACAATCACAAGGACTGACAGAATTTTCCATCATTTAAAATCGTGAAAACTTAAATAAGCTCTCAAAACATCACCATATGATTTGGTGAATAAATTCATTGAACATTAAACCTTCCAATATCCACGTGTTAAAGTATTGTGACCAAACGAACAGAGTTGAAGTTATGGCTGTTCAGGTGGACTCTTATTCGTTGATGTTTCAGCCCTGCAAAAGAGCCTTACCAGACTCTAGAGCGCACTTTTCTTGGCCCCATGCTCACAAGTATCAGCCTTCACGTGCATTCAATGCCCTCATGCGGAACATCTCGACGAGCCGGAAAATGGACCAAGAAATGGTGAGGTGGGTCGCAACGTTTCAAACTCTACTCTTCCAAGGTGAGGCTGACATGAATGAACCCGAACGAGCCAGCTTGAGAAAACCCACTTATTGCATAGAATGCACAATTTACTTGATGAATGCGAAAGAGCAGGAATGAAAGAAATTCAGTAGAATAGGCTGAGTGACTTGATTAGTAACGATGGACCGTTGGGATATATAACTGGCATCTGTCGGGATGTGGGGGTCACATGTTTCAAGTCGCTTCAATGCAGCTCAACGGTAGTACGGAGAGTTCAACATCCCCGAATTGCATAGTGTGCCGTCGGTAATTCGATAGATGCGATTCAACAGGAGAATTGTGGTTCAGTTTGTCATGATGCTACTTTTGTATTATTGTATCTTCGAGTGTTCAGCAATCAAGCCGTACAGCTTTATTCCACACATCGTATAATTGCATATGAGACCTCGGTTCAGGCGGAACATCTTTACTCCAACACTAGTCACAATCTACCATCCCCTGCCATCTATTAGAATTCGTGCTTCGACCGATGTAAAGGACATCTCAGAAGCCGATTTCATGCCGGGGAGCGATGCCGTGCCGTGCCGGACTTCCCAAAAACTCCGGTCGGCTCCGGTGACCCCCACAGTCCCGAACCCCACAGAAGAGTCCGGGTGTATAAACACCTGGAACTTCCCGCTATTAGACATTCAATCATTCAATGGCGTTTAGGAATCATCTCAGTGATTCAAAATGACTCTTTTTAGCTGTCCCGGTACACCATTACTGGCCGGCATCTTTCTCCTCCTCACAGCGGCCTACATCTTCATAACCGCGCTCTCCTCACCACTCCGGCACATCCCCGGACCCTGGTACACCCACATCACCCACCTCATCTTGAAGTATCACGTAGTAATCGGCAATCGCATCCACTACATCCACGCACTTCACAACCACTACGGTCCCATAGTCCGCATCTCTCCCCAAGAAGTAGCAATAAGCGACCCAGACTCCGTCTCAGCAATCCACAAAATCGGCGCCGGATTCCTCAAGTCAGACTGGTACGATGGCATTACCCCGGGCAGAGAATCTGGTATCTTTGCTATGAGGGATCCGCACCTCCATTCTGCGCGCAGACGGCTTTTTGCGAGGGCTTTTAGTGTGAGTTCATTATTGGCGAATTGGGAGCCTGAGATCAGAGAGAAGACTGGATTAGCGGTGCAGAAGATTAAGCGAGATGCGATAGGTGGTGGTGCGGATGTGTTTAAATGGTGGACTCTTATGACTACGGATGTTATTGCTCATTTATCATTCGGAGAGTCGTTCCATATGCTGGAACAAGGAAAGGTAAGTGCATCTTCATAACACATTGACTGCCACTTATACTTCCAGCAAACACCTTACATTGACTCTATCCAACTTGCCCTGATAAACAGCGGTATCAGAAGCGAGCTGTCATGGATTTACCCATTCCTCAAATTCATCCCCTCGAAAGGACTAAAGAAGCTCTTGAACGCCGATAACGTCGTATACGATCATGGCGCAGTAGCCGTCCGAAACATGCAAACTGCCATGAGCAGAGCTAATTTGTTCAGCCAGATGGCAGCCGAAGCTGACGGCCAGGAGAAGACAACTCTCACTTCATCAAGCGTTCAATGTGAGGCGGGAAATCTCATTGTCGCAGGATCTGATACTACTGCTGTCACTCTCACCTACCTCGTATGGGCAGTCTTAAAGCATCCCGAGCTGCAGGCGCAGTTAGAACAGGAGGTTGCAGGCCTTAGTGATGAGCTCGGTTTCGAAGAGCTTAAGAATGCGCCTATTTTGAACAGTGTTATTGAGGAGACGCTGCGATTATACGGTGCTGCACCAGGCTCTCTTCCTCGCGTGGTTCCTAGCAAGGGCGCTACTCTTAGTGGTCACTATCTTCCGGTAGGTACTGTTGTGAGCACACAAGCATACACAACTCACCGGGACGAAACTCTCTTTCCTGACGCGACAAGGTATGTTACCCCCGGCCCCACACATACTTATTTTAACCGGTAAGATTCGACGGCTATCGATTTATGGACAAGTCCAAGATAACACCTGCACAAAAAGCGGCAATGTCTCCGTTCGGCGCTGGCTCGAGAATTTGTATTGGGATGCACTTGGCTTGGATGGAGTTGAGACTTGGCGCTGCTTTGTTCTTTCGGGAGTGTCGGGGTGTGAGACTTGGTGCGGAAATGACTGATGACATGATGGAGATGGAGAATCACTTTCTGATTGCGCCTAAGGCTCATCGATGTATGGTTAAGCTGCAGGCGGCCTGAAGGAAGGTATGCAGCTTTGTACTAGAGTATATGGAATAGTTGATTTACCCGTTCCTTATCCGAGCTTCAGTTTAGCCATACCATCTTGTGGAACAAACTCACCCCACACTTACAAGGATCACAATCCCGCGTGATATATATCAATCCACTTCCGCCATCACCCAATGACGATTGCATGTCAAATTGCCTCGGGCATTATCCGTACCACTACATCGGTCTTCGCAACGTGCATAGAGTGAATATCCTCGGAGACATGTCCGAGTTACTTTGCGAAACGCCCTCAACATTAAAAGCGAACTTGACCATCGCTCCTGACTGGCTGACTCGGCGATAGATGTTAACTCAACCATACTTTCACTGTAATTCATTGCCATGCTTAAACCACAAGCCAACGCCCATCGAGACCTCGTCTCTCTAGACGGAGTCTGGAATTTCACACTCGACCAAGAATCCTGGAACCACTGGATTCCATCAACCCTCCAAGTCCCCGTCCCGGCAAGCTACAACGACATTTTCATCGACCCAGACATCCGCAACCACGTCGGCTGGGTCTACTACCAGCGCAGCTTTACCGTCCCTTCAACATGGTCTGAACAGCGATATTTCCTTCGCTTCGACGCCGCAACTCACAAAGGCCGTGTTTACATAAACAGTCAGTTTGTTGCTGAACATGTAGGCGGTTATACCCCGTTCGAAGTTGATCTTACGGATATCGTTCAACCAGGATGCAAGGTCAGGCTTACTGTCGGTGTAAATAATGAGCTGGATTGGCATACCATTCCGCCTGGTAGAATTGAGACGCTGGACAATGGGAAAAAGAAACAGCATTACCAGCATGACTTTTTTAATTATGCTGGTCTTGCAAGATCGGTTTGGCTGCATAGCGTGCCGAGGGTCTTCATTAATGATGTTACTGTTGTAACGAGGGTGGACGAAAAGACTACTTTTGTGGACTTTGAAATCTCAACCAGTTCATCTTTACAAGGTCATTCGCTCAATGTTACCTTGGTCGACGAAGAGAATGTCGATGTTACACACTCGTCTGGAACAAAGGGGTCGTTAACTGTCACATCCCCTCATCTTTGGCAACCAGGAGCGGCATATCTTTACCAGCTCAAGGCCGAAATCATCAGTCCCGGTGGCTCTGTCGTCGATACTTATGAGCTACCCGTCGGAATTCGCACCGTCAAAGTATCTGGCAACAAATTCCTCATTAACGGGAAACCATTTTACTTTACTGGCTTCGGCAAACACGAAGACACACCCATCCGCGGCAAAGGTCACGATCCAGCATACATGATCCACGACTTTCAACTGATGAAGTGGATGGGGGCCAATTCATTCCGAACATCTCACTATCCCTACGCTGAGGAGGTGCTCGAGTATGCAGATCGACATGGAATTGTGGTCATCAATGAGACTGCGGCTGTCGGTCTCAATCTTACTATCGTCGCTGGATTGTTTGGACAGAAGCCTACGCCTACTTTTTCGCCCGACACAATGAATGATGATACGCAGAAGGCGCATGAGCAGGCTATTCGTGAGCTTGTTGCACGGGATAAGAATCATCCTTGCGTTGTGATGTGGACGATTGCGAATGAACCAGCTGCTAGTGAACCTGGTGTACGCGAGTACATGGAGCCTCTGGTCACTCTAACAAAGGAACTAGATCCCACACGTCCAGTGTGTTTTGCCAACGAAAACCAAGCCAACATCCACACCGATCTAATCGCAGATCTTTTCGACGTAATCTGCCTCAACAGATACTACGGCTGGTACCTCCACACAGGGGACCTAGAAGCAGCAGAAAAGGGGCTAGAAGATTGTCTCCTGAGCTGGGCAGGCAAGTACGACAAGCCCATCATAATGACAGAATACGGAGCCGACACGATGGCTGGTTTGCATACGGTTGGAGATGTTCCCTGGAGTGAAGAGTATCAGAGCAGGGTGCTGGAAATGTCGCACCGGGTGTTTGATAGGGTGGACAGTGTTGTTGGAGAGCATGTTTGGAATTTTGCTGATTTTCAGACACCTTCGACGTTCATTTTTAGGGTTGATGGGAATAAGAAGGGGGTTTTTACGAGGGATCGGAGACCGAAGGGGGCTGTGCAGGTGCTGAAGAGGAGATGGACTGAGATGGTGAAAACACCATCTGGAGAGTAGTTAGACATGAGAAGTTAGCACTTGATCTAAAGACAGTGTTTTTGCTATCTAAGATTGGCTTACTGTAATGGTTGTCCTCTTTCCATCAAAGCTTATCTATAGCTACATGGCAATCATAAAGCACGGTGGAATGTGGCTCGACCAACCGTCGGCGGTGCTCTCTAAGCCAAGGTTGAACCGGCCCCTTGGAAAGTCGGAGAGAAAGCCCCTGATGCTCAATGACTGGACACTCCCGCGAAACTTGCTAGAAAGCCTCGGGGAGCACTCCGTCGTTAAACTTCCATCGCGTGATACAACTGCCACTCAGTCTTCTGTCTTAGGCCGATCCTCACCATTCTCGGCTGGCTTGAACCTTTGTTTAACCATGACTTTCCCGACGTTTCGCCGTGTATGGGCAATAGTGAAGAACACTAAAATAATGCTGGATGGTCGATGCTGTTGTGACCAAGCTTTACATCCCTGTCAAGGTAACATTGACGCTAGATCAGTGTCACATCGTGTGCAACTTCCCCGCATTCTTAGCGTTGTAGCGGTCGATTCGTGGATTCTGGGGTACAGACATGGCGTGCGAGTCATGTATTTGGTCAGGTTTATCCTGAATACATTCGGTCGGACTGATGGCCGAGCCAGTAATGTATAAATCGGCATCGACCTGCTCTGTGGATCTTTCGCTATGTAGGCAACGTCCAAATACATCATCAATCATGGATAAAGCAGCCGATACTGTCGATGTGGTACACGACGAAAAGGCCCATCACAATGCGGTACCAACATCAGCATTCGCAACTCTCACCCGAGCCCAATGCGTCAAGAAATTCTGGCGTCTATACATCACCGGTCTCGGAGTGTCCCTAGCTGGAATGTACGTATACCCCCCACAAATAATTTACTCTCTAATAACTTCCTAGGTACGCTGGATACGCCAACTCAGTCATCGGAAGTATCGTCGCCAATGAGGGTTTCATCTCCTACTTCGCGACAGTTAAAGACCCCGAAACCGGTAACCCGGCGTTGAATGCTCAGCACATTTCTCTCTGGTCAGCTTGTTACTTTGTCACATCTATCCTGATCCAGTGCATCGCTCCTATCACTGCAGACAAGTTCGGTCGCAAGTTCAATATGTGGGGCGTTACGTTCTTCCTGACACTGGTGAGTTCATCCATATCTGTCTCCAATATCATGCTGACGTCGCTAGTCTATCGTGATTCAGATCATCGCACCAAACTGGTGGACTCTTCTCATCGCGAGGTTGGTGGCTGGCTGTGCGGGTGGCATGATGGGTACTTCGGTCATGGTCTACATGTCTGAAGTCGCGCTGCCGCAATTTCGAGGTGCTTTGCTGGGTAGCTTCTCTCTCGCTTTCGCCCTTGGACAAGTCTTTCTTGCCATTGCTCTAAAGATTCTTGAAGACACGAATCCCATGGCTTTCCGGCATATCTTCTACTCCGAGTTTGTCTTTACAGGTCTTTGGCTATTCCCAATGATATATCTACCCGAAACACCATGTAGGTACAACCACTCACGACGAGGGTCCATCTAACGTTTACAGCATGGTATGCTTCTAAGGGTAGACACGAAGAAGGCAAGAAGGCACTGCGTCGTTTGGTCGGGAATGTCAAAGACTACGATGTCGACCGCGAATACTCAGTCCTTCAATACGAAATGGAAGAATCGTCATCTACAGCCAAAGGTGAAAATTCAGACTGGAAGGCTCTTTTCACGAGCAGAATTAACATGAAGCGCGCCGTCATATCGACTCTTCCATTTACATTCCAGAACATTGTCGGAGTTCCACTCATGTTTGGATACACGACCTACTTCTTCCAACTCGCCGGCGTTGACGATCCCTTCTTGGGAAACATGGTCAAACAAATGGTGCTTGTTGTCGGGATCATTATTGCTTTCTATACGGTTGATAAGGTCGGGCGGAGAACGTTGGTGATTTATGGCGGTGCTGCTATGGCGACGATCTGTTTTATTGTGGGTGGTCTTGGATTCATGAAGCAGACAACTGCTTCGGGGATGGTATTGGTGGCGCTCTGTTCTCTTTGGGCCTTCGTTTATGCGAATACTCTTGCACCAATCGGTATGTTGACAGTCCAATTACACGCTTCTTAACTGACTTCTCCAGGCTGGATCAGTCTAGTAGAGATCTCGAGTCCGAGTCTACGCGCAAAGACAACTTCCATTGCCGTTACTATCCAATACGCCACTGGCATCTTATTCGTAAGTACAGCCCTCCTAGACGAGTCAACTCCTAACAAGAATAGAACTACACTGTACCTCTGATGTTATCGAACCAGAATGCCGGCTGGGGTCAAAAGATCGGGCTTTTCTTTGGTGGCATCACCCTGGTCTATCTAATTCCTTGTATCCTCATGTTCCCCGAGACCAAAGGTCGCACATATCATGAGCTGGATGAACTGTTTGGACGACGTGTTCCTGCTTGGAAATTCGCGTCTACTAAAACATCGCATCAGGAAGAGCTCGAGGCGAAGGTAGGTGAAGGAAAGGTCTGAGGTCCTTGTCTTTTGTCGAGGCGAATGCTATATGCGCTATCTTCTAATTGAACTCGAGTCACCCCTGTATCTCTGCCTCGGCAAGGATTTGTCAGATTAGCTGTGCTTGGCCAAGTCACTACGCAACACCTTGACATTAACATTCCTTCCAACCTTCTTCAGCGGACCAGTCTTCTTGAACAACAACTCCATCCACCCAACGAAAATCTGATTCGTAGCCTTCTCAACCTTCCTGCCATCCAATGTCCCAAAAATCTCATCCACAACACCCTGCGACTCTTTCGGAATTTTAATCTTTGTCAACATCAACGGAACGTCAGTAAACGCATAATGCTGTGTCTTCATAATCTCAAGCACCATCTTAGACCCATCGATGTTACTGTAGAACTCGTCCCAGTCAAAAGGATCTTTTCTATCAGCGCCGACGAGGATGAAGGGCTTTTTAAAGCCTTCGTGGTTGACGGATCCGTAGATTGGAGCATCGAGACCAAGACCGCCTATGATGCGCGGGTCGCGCTGGACTGTGACTGCTGCTGTTGAGCCGCCGAAGGAGTGGCCGTATATGGCTAACTTTTCGGGATTGAAAGTACCGGGAAAGTTCGCGAAGATGGAGTCTGTGAGGGTTTTGTTGGAGAGTTGGGAGGTCAAGAATGATGCATCCTTTGTCCGAGCCTAGACTTGTTAGTCGAAGTGTATCCAGGTTTTGGTGTACTTACCTCTAGCATAACCAGATCAGGAGTATCATTCGTAGTATGATACGCAGCAGTTCCATCAGGAAACTCAACAACCAAAGTTTCATAAGTATGATCCATCGTGAAAACGATATACCCAAGACTAGCCAACGATCTGGCCATGGCACCATACACAAGTCTAGTTCCCTGCGCCCCAGGTGAGAAGATAACCACGGGGAATTCCTTTTTGCTCTTAGAGGACTTGATAGTAGAGATGTTACAAAATTCCATTTCGAAACTCTCAATGGTTCCGTTTGGAATGCCGAGGGTAATACCCAGCTCACCGAAGACTTTCGCTGTCAGGGCTGGCATGTAGGGGACAACCTGGGGTCTGCAGTGGTGCTTGGCATCAACGGGAAGATAGGTTGATACCATGATGCGGCGCTTGGTTTTTGGCTCTGGCGCGAAGTTGTCAACACGATTTGGGTCGTCGAGTTCGAAGTCGCTGACGGCGACATGGTAGGGTCCTGGTGGGGAGGGCATCAAAATGGCCCGTGCCGCTCCGAAAAGTGCGAGAAGAGTAATGGGTTGCATTGTGATGTTCGGCAAAATGATGGTGATTCTGATTTACTGGGGTTCTGTTGGCAGTGACTCGATCATTTATATAGCTTAAGAAATATCTCACCTCGGTCTTTGAGAGACTTCGTAAGCTGAGATCTCATCTCGGTCTTTCCAATAGCTGATAGGCTGAGATTATGCCAAGCTAAAGTCCGCAAGATCGAGCTTACTTCTCCGACTTGCAATACAGATCTCCGGCCGCGTGACATACTCAGCCATTCTATCATCAATTGATTCATGGCGACTTTATCTCGGTCTTTGTGGGCTTCTCATGTTGTAAGACGCTAGTTAGATAGATGTGCTGAAAAGGTGGAGCATGAAAGTCAAAGACCGAGCGACGTAAACCAGCCAATCATGATCTTGCACTGACTGGTAATGCCTAAAGACCGAGAGTTTTCGTATCATTCTCGGTCTTCCAATGTCATTCTACGAATCGGAAATCTTACTATCTGACAAGTAATTCTGTCTAGACTATTTCTGCATGTACACCATATCTTGCATTCGATCTTGACGCAGGCACCGGTTTTTCCGGCTCGTAGTAAGTCGGTCTCGAATCCATCCGAGCACTACCGTCTTATTCCCGAAAGCACCCACTCACTCCACTACGCGTCCTGATTTCGCGATGCGAGAGAAAGGAATGCAACAGCGGACTGTACATATCCAGTGTCGTCGGCCGCAACAACTTGTAGAAACACCTGCTATCTGAAGGCTTTTTTTTTTTTTTTTTTT